CCCAGAGGATGCAACTGAAACAGCCATCAGCTCAACAAAGGCTGACAGATCTGCATCAGCTTATTGCTGACAAAATGTCACCACAGTCGGCACTCCGGCCATCTCTCCCTTCTCGCAGAGCAAGTGCCGACTTTACCAGGGGTCTGTGTCTCGCAAACACTCCCCCTTCCTTGCTTTCTTGGCCGGATGATTTCTGCCCTTTCTCGCCTTTGCAGATTTCACCTCTTCATAGAGATCTATCCCAAACTCCAGTGCTTCTGCCAGCACCTCCCCACGAAACTCATTCAGCTTGAAGCGAAGCCGCTTGGAATCTGCGAAACTAGGCAGCCAGTGAAGATGTAGTTCCGCTCCTCTCTTTTGCAATTGCACCGCCAACTCCATATTGAACACGCACAAAGGGAACTTTGTTGTCACGCACCGTGACACCACGTGGCTGTTACCTTTGTTGTCTGTCCCAGCTGAGCAGCATCCTGCAACACCATCGCCGCCGCCACAAGGGTTGCCAGCAGCTCCAATGATGCAATCGATCGATAGCTCTCTCCCGCCGTGAACACCCAGCTGGCGCCTTGATGATCTAGGCGTTCGGCAAACCAGCGGCGCTGAATGATCCAAGGCCCAACCACCAATCCAAATATCTGAACCTTCTGCTCTTGCATCAGTTCGAAAAATCTCTGGCGGCATACTCTGCCCTGTTCCAACAGCTTGCACCCTGTGTCCACTAGCCAACACTTTGCTGAGGAATCCCATGATCAGCAACACCATCTTTGGCAAAGGCCTGTATTCAAATTTGATCAAGGCGGCCGTCCAGGCAAACAGTGGTCCCAAGAATGCTCTGTAGTTTGACAAAGCACTGCAGGCAAAGCAGAGACGCCCCAAAACAGCCCGCAAGCATGCTATGCGAACTTCGCGCGCTTCACATGTTTTGGCAAGCCACCCTGATAACCAAGCAGCTCGCGCCTCTGTCAAACCCAGCATCCTTTCAGCCAGCATCACTTCAAAACCAACCCATGTGCAAGTCAAACCGCCAGCAAACTTTTCCAGGAGAAGGGCAATCCTATAAGTGCATAGAAGTAGATAACCATGACTAACAGTTCGATGCCGCCCTTCTCGCCCACCAACCACAGGAGGTCATCCACATAGACCAGCTGCATGACCCCGCTCTTGCCAAGCATGTAGAACGCAGCGCGGCCAAGCCCTGACATCAACCTGCTCCAGTGGTAAGCCGCAGACGCAACCCCGAAAGTCCCCACTTTGTTGATCCGTATCATGCCAGGGTTGACATCAGTTTTGCAAGCCAGGTAGCGCCAATCCCGCCGATCTATTTTCACCAGTCTGTGGGCTCTGCTGACATCACCCTTCAGTGCAAAGAACGCCTTTGGAAGCACTTGTACTGCACGGCGAACATCGATGGCCGTAGGGCTCCGCACTTGATCCAACACTTTGATCTTGGCGTTCACTGCCAGCCCATGCGTCGCATCATGGATGACCCGAAAGCTTCCATCTGATTTTTCCAGAGCACCCAGAGATGCAATTGCAATTTTTCCCAATTCCTTTTCCGCCTGCGCAAAATTTGTCTCCTCCATCGCGCCCAGCTCAGCTTCGCTTTCAAACTACCTTTGCGCAACATCCCGATGCTCTTTGGCTGTGATGTATAATTTTCCCGCGCGCCGGCTTCTTCCTGGATGTGCTCGTAACAGCGCCAGTGTTGCTTGGCAGTAAACAAAGCTGGTACACGAGGCAAAGTGCAGTCAACTCCTAACCGCACCCCTTCTGCAAAGGAGTGAGTCCCACTGTGGTACGCTGCTGCATCTGGGTCTCCAGCTAAATCCAATATTGCTTCTAGCTCGCATAGATAAAAGGGCTGCCCCTGCTCTTCAATGGGCGCTTTGCAATTTGCCTTCCGCAACTCTGCAAAAATTATCTCGCGAATTCTCGCGACCACTCTGCAGTAAATCATCGCTGAAAGGGCAGCTGGTGACTTTTCCAGAAGCAAGAAGAAAACCAATCTTGCGCACATCCAAACAATGTTGCAAATGTCGAAGCAAACGACGACCAAGCAACTAATGAAAATGCAGGTTTGGATTGTCGCAATTGTCTTGCCTCATGTCAGGACTCCAGCGCCCAGGCGAACATAGCCCAAAACCATCTGTGAAAGTCTTGCGCTTCCCATTAAAACTGCAGAACAATGGAGGGCCCTGGCCCCTGACACCTTGCAAATGGATGCCAGCACCACCTTCCTCATACTCAGCCTCATCTCTTGCAGCGTTCTCATCCACGCTGCCAAAATTGTCGCCACTCTGCGCTTGACTGCTCCCAACCACCGGCGACGGAGTGGCAGGGCCCAAATCCTCTAGTCAAGGCTCGGCCTCGACCTCTGTAGGGGACTTACTGCCCTTGTACTTGCATTGCTGGAACGAATGTTTCCCGAAGCACCGTTGGCAAACATGGGCAAAAACACACCGTTGCTTTTTGCAGCCGCTGACTTTGTTAAAATTGAAGCAAATGCGCTGACCATTCGGAGCAGAAGCGGCTTTTTCCCCATTGGCGGTCCCACATGTCGCGACCCTTGCCCTTGTTTTCGCCTTTGCCTTCGCCTTTTCCAAAGCGATGTGCTGGGGGCCAAGCGCCGGAATCTCCATGGTCCAACTTGAAGCTGCAATGGAGTGACAAAATATACTCCGTACAATGCCGGGGCTTCACACGCCTTGGCCAAGGCTGTTCCGATGTCCACACAGACATTGATACCGATAGGCAGACTTTCTAAGCTCCAGTTCATAAGAGCACCAAAGACCAACTGGGCCCAACACCTGCGGAAGTGCGAAGCCCAGCCACTGTAGAGCCCAAGACATGATCGGACAATTTGCGGAAGTCATCCACAATAGAAGCATTGATCCAAGCCCGATTAGCATGCCGAGACTTCACAAATGCCCAAGCAAGACCCAAACGCCGATGGCGGAGTCGTAGCTCCTCGGGATTGCTCGGCGGGGTTGTAGTGCTTTTGCCCGGCCGAATCCGCAGGAAGTTGGAGCCCGGGTCCACCACGGCACTGTAAGCTTCCACTGCAGAATCTTCAAAGGAGGTGGCTTCCCGCAAATCCTCCGCAACTGGTGCGCCATCTTCCAATTGCTCCAGCTTTGAGGCCACCAAACTTTTGCTGGGAGCCTCTTTGTCACGAAGGCTGCCTTGCATAGCTTCCACTGCGGACCTCATGGCGGCGTATTCCGTGGTCTGGATCAAGCGCGCCGGCCCACTTGCATTGGCATCAAGCTTTTGCTTCACTTGCATAGCGCGCTGTGTTTTGGCGCTTTCCCACACACCGACCAGCAAAGCCACCTCTTTGCGAATGGCCAAGCTTGTCTCCACATCCAAACCGAATTGCTTCAAAGCAGCGCGAACCCCAGCTGAGGTCTCATCCAAGCCCGCAAAACTGATCAACGTATCGAAACCCCCTTGGTAAATTTTCTTCTGGGTGTCGGAACTGACCCCAGCTTCATCCATGAGGAAAAGCAAAGCAGAATCGGCGCAGGCCATGACGGACAAATGCCGAAACAGAAAATAAATCAAGGGAACCAAAAGCAAAGATGAGAAGGCTGCGGCGGCGGCATCTTCCTGGTCGGGACCCCAGGATCCAGCACATGCTTTAAGAACTAAAGCATGCAAACAAACCCAGCGCACCCACACCATGCGCGAAAGGGAACCCCTTGCCAGAAACACGCACTCACTCCAGGTGTGCTAAAAACATGCGTCAATCCAACGCACAATAATGGGGAAACATGCGCCTATCAGCGCACAAAAGACTCAAAAGACATGCGCCAAACGCGCGCAAACGCCCTCCCAGAGGTGAAACAGAGAAGTCGGGTTGACAGCCACTTGGGGCCCATAAACATGTGTCAATCAATCATTTGAAGCGGCCGACTGCTCGGAGTCATCTCCTTCCTCAGCTTCAGACACAGTGATGTTTGCACGCGAGATCATATAGGAGGCCGCGCAATGTCCACACATCTTCGGAGCACTGCACATCAACCATGGAAACCCCGCACCCATTACGTCGGTGGAGGCGCCGCAAGCGCTTGCTGCCCACAATAGTGACAAAGAAAGGGCTCGGGCTGCAGCATTCATCTGTGTCTTGACATTCCTCAGGCGGAGCTACAGCTGCTTCTGCAGGATCAGGGAAAGTAGGCTCCAATCCCAAACCACCGGCAAATTTGGGGTCCAGCCATAGAACTTTGCGTTGTTGGGCCGCAAGCTCCACACTGCCGCCCTTCTCAACAATGCTTTGAATCAGCTCGTCAATGCCAGACTCCCGAAGGCCCCAACGGTCCTCCCCGCGTAAACTTGCTACAACTTTTTCTTGCAGGGTGACCAAGACCTGCTGAGAAGTCCGAAGATATTTGTCTGCAGATGTGGTGATGTTGCACCTCCCGATGAAATTGCATTCATTCGGGGGCACGCCAGCCAATTCCGTTCACTGTGCTCAGTCCAAAATTTGAAGGCTTCTTCCACTAAGAGCAAAGGAGAATCACTTTGGATCCACACTCCCCGTGACCAAATCGGCACTCTCAATTCTCGCAAAAGCAGCTTTGTTAAACCAACCACATCCCCATAGTCAGCCATGCACTTCCGAACACCTTCCCAATCAGAGCGAGGGAGAGGCAGAAAATAGTCGCGGTCAAAATTCATATCAGCATGTCTCCAGACATCTAGACCAATGGAAAGCCAAGACGGCGCCATGAAAAATGCTGACTTTTTCACAAACACGGGCAGATGCCGCACGCGTTTGCCTGGACCAGTGGTTTTTGTGCGCGCCAAGCAACCCACTAATCCATGCGGAGTCCACCGCAAGGAAACAGGATTCAAACCCGATAGGTCATGTGAGCGAGCAGCTGTCCATAGCTTTAAAAGTTTGAAAAATGCTAGCCCCCGAGCATATAATGGCTGGGAGGAATCAACCACCAACAGCTCCAAGGCACCAAGCAACTTCAAAGGCAATAGCGGAGATTTCCGCTTCGGGGGGGCACCCCCCTCTAGATCCATGGTGCTCTGATCAACAAAATGTCTGAGAACTTGCTCTCCAGAAACACGGTCACGAACTGCCACGCCACTAGCTTTCTCCATAATAAAGGCAGCTAAAAATGAGGCACAGTTCGCGCACAAGGCTCAGCGACCCTTTCTTGAAGATAGTCCAGGACGATGCCCAAATTTGGAGGCCATGCAATCCCAGCCACTCCTAGCGAGTAAGCGCGCAATTTGCGCCATTCCCTTACTCTGACTTTGATGGTACTAGCACGCATACCACCTAGAGCCGAGCTGTTGATTTTGTCAGGTTCACGACAGTTACGAGCTTGCATAGCCAAGGGAAGCTTCGCCTCAGCAATCAAGTCTGCTAACTCCGAGCGCCAACGCAGGAGCCCGCGCCGCACAGAAAACAGAAACCAACAGCAAGCAATCCACTTGCAAACCAACAGCAAGCAATCCACTTGCATCAAATAGAACAGAAAGTCACTCCTAACATCAACAAGTTAAATCAAAATTCGGTCAACACAGGAAAACCCCCTGCCAAGAAGCAGCTAAGACTACCGGATCACCCTTACTGGCCACTGGGCCACACCGCATATATAAATAAATACACAAAATTGACCCAAATCAACCAACCAATGTATTTTAAAGCAACATCTCATCTATTCACATACACTCGACCGTTTAGTCATGATAGTGTCACAGAAATGAAAAAACCTTTACAGTACTGTTAATATCTGCGAAGTATCTGAGCTCCTGCCCCATTTGTGAAGCTCCTGCACGAAACATAGCAACTGCTTCTGGATCTCGTTGCGACATCTAGGCACCTAGAATCTACCTAGAACCCCTTCTCCTCATGTAGAGGCTTCCGATGAATGTATCATTACTCGAAAGGCGTTTGCAAGACCATGTTTGCAATGATGTCATCCTTGGATCATGCACAAGCTCAAAACACACTTGCAAATGTGATTAACACATTGTGCCAGAAGCTCTTATCTGCTGGAACAAGTCTTGGGCAGTTGCTAAGACCCGTGCGAGTTGAACAAATGATATGCTATCCTTCCAAAAGGATTTTTCACCTGCTGTGCACCACAAAGGATCAACACAACATCCCACGTGAACTTTATCATGCAACAAATGCATCCCTGAAGAAACCCTGTGGTTCCAAAGATTGGGCTGGAACCGGCAAAGGGCGCTGAAATGCAAGGGTGCTCCGGCCACTAGAAAGCCGCTGGGGAGCACACTCCATTTCGGTCAAATCTATTCGTAGCATCAGCCAACAGCGGTGCATGCCTCCAAGATGTGATGGATATTTCAAGCAACCTGTGATCGATTTCCATTGCAACAAAGGGGCAGTAGAACTCCTTCCATGTCGGCTGGCACAAAGGATTGATCACCAGCAAAGCAATAGGATGTAAACTCTTCGCCATCCTGCCGCATCCTGCAGTCCCACTGGTCCAAACATGGCCACTTTGACGGGCGGAATGGTCACCGGTCACCGGTGAACACCACCAGGGCCTCCGTAGCTCACCATGGGAAACACCTTCACCAATAGATGCCCAGGGAACATCACATTTCACCTCAGCAAGGGCGCACACGCAAAGGCCTTACTCGGGTGCGGCATTCATTGCGTTCATCATAACAGCGATGGCCTCCACCCTAGTAGCGATGGCCTCCAACCTACTTGCAAATTGTTGAGTTGCATCTGGCTCTGCAAAGCAGCAAAACACCTCTTTGCCATTCACAGGCTTTCCCTTGGTCACTGCACACTCTGTTGTCCGCAATCATATCTATTTTCAAAAATGCATCAACTGACAGTAAATGACAACCTTGAGAGTTGTAAGATGATTCTGTTACAATTGCTTCGGGTTGACTCCAGGGCACCTTTTGCGAGGCAGGGCAATACTTTTGCATCTTCTTGATTTGAGCCTTGGCCAAGCTGCACATAGTTTTGCTTTGGATCGGACAGAAAAAATATGAACAAATGCTCAATAGCTTCGATCAGTAGCTTCACCAAGACCCGGGCCTCATAGACCCTCAGTTCCCGAAAATTTGGCGATTCTCCACATGCTTGAAAGAACGTAAAGGTCACAATCTTGCCAAGAAGCGTTTTGTGGAACGTGCTGCCTTTACGTCCACCCAAAAAATTGGAACTGAAATCGGGCGGGCATTCTTTTCCTCTCAACAAATGCGATATCAAATGATCCCAAAGCACAGTTCCTCATGCTGAAGTGTCCTCTGGGATTGTTGCCAGAATAGGAGACCAAATCCATGTTCAGGACATCGATGACGGGATCTAAGTCCTGATCGAATTTCCAAATGGAGATCGACGAAGAGCCTGTTTTACAAGTCCTCCTGCACCAAAAAATCGGTATCCATATAGATGCCGCCATTGTGATAGATCACAGCATATCGCACCTGGGCAAGGCATGCCTGACACTACTGTCTTCCCGACGTCCTCAATGTCCAGCCGTGACACCACATCTGATCGTGCTGCTTGGTAAGGAATCTTGAAGTACTCCTTCAGCTGCCATGTGCTTAGTTTCAATGGTGTATAGAAGTATAACGTGTACTGCTGAAGCTCCTCAGGAAGATCTGGGATATATTGATGGATATTCTTCTCATTGAGGAAGATAGGTTCGGCACCTAAGGCCAAGAAGCTCGCAGACTCATACAAACCGTTTGAAAAAACAAACGCCTAGAAAATCGCGTCTACTCATCTCGTTCTACCTGTTGAAGCTTCCGAAGTCTAAGAGTTTCGCATCGACCATGTGAGTGCCGCCTCCAGGATTCAATATTCAGCCGCACATATTCAGGTGCTCCATGGGGGTACTCCCACAAAGTGAAGAGGTTGCACCTAGAAAGTACAACTGTTCTGCCAGGCAATGTGCTACACAAAACCAAAAGCAAAACGAGCTGCTCTGCATTCTGGAAACTCTCTGGATCGTCCTGACACTGGCACAACAGGCAAATGACAGCCTTTTCCACTTTCCAAACTGTGCCCACACCAAAATTCTTTTGTCAGGACTTGTAAGCACAACACTTGTAGCCAACACAGACCGAGATGACCAAGCAAGTTTTCTTCATGTCCTCTTTGTCAGCAGCCGGAGTAAGGTTTGCCAGTGGCCACTGTCCACTTTGAGTGACTTTGGCTTTTGGTTCGTCTTGTTCATCTTCACTTTCCAAATCATCATCTTCTTCATCTTCGTCTTCTTCGTCTCCATCGTCCTGAAAATTTAAAACCAAAACGTGAGCATCAAGTCGAAAGGAAACACCCGGCCCTACACGGCTGACTAAAGCTGGATGACAACAAAATGCCCGCTGATCCTTCTGGAGCATCCGTGTGTCCTTGCTCTTCCATCCACGCAGAATTTGCGCGCTGCCAGCACTTCCTGGAAGAGTACCAGACTGAGCAGTCCTGTCGAGCTCAACCAAGAAGAGGAACCCTAAGAATGGATGGAAAAGGCAAATTTGTATAATGCAAAGACAACATTGGCAACATCCTCCAGAGTCTCCACAAAGACAAAAGGCAAAGAAGCCAAAGAGTCAGCATTGCGACTTCTTGCCCTCTGAGAAGGCCTTGTCAAGCGACCCCCCACTACAGAAGTGGTCAAACAACCAACAGCGGAATGCTACTGTGACACTGTGCTTGCTTTTACTTCAAAATGACCAGCTAATTAGCAAATCCTCAGGAGAAGCCTCGCAACAGGAAACAACATCAATGCAGTTCAACTTCACCAGCAACAAAATGTTCGCATAACTTGCCGCTACGATGCACCAAGCCCTCTTCCCAGGTTTTGCCATCACGAACCTAGGAGAATACAAGCCACAGAAATCATCAACACCTACTGAGTGCACAATGGCAAAGAGTTCCTCGACAGTCTTAGCCCACTCACCATTGGACAAATGAAGGAGTCCAGTTGTGTGGGCTGCTGGGAAGTATGAGCAAATCGGTTAAATTTTGATGGGTTCAATCTCGTGTGGCAAAGTGTTCCAAATCACCTGCCTTCAACACTTGTACGCAATTACTCATGCATGCAACAAAGAAAACATATACATACGTAGCATACTGCCATGGTATACACTTGATGCACACCTTGACAGGATGGCTGCTGTCGTTCCCATCCTCTTGCTTGATCTTGCTTGGGCATTTGTGCGAACCAGGACAGCTGAAGCACGGCCAAGTTCGATGCACAATTGACTAACAAGAGGAGACAAAATTCTTAGCTCGAATACCGATCCCATTCACCAGCAAATACTCTCCATTGCTCATGTTAAAGGCTCAATGCTCGACATCATTAATGATATTACACAATGATTCACCATCCTCAATGGAAGGACTGAAACTTGCTCACAGTTACAAAAGTTATAAATATGGTAGTGCCAGAATTGCTTGACGGCGTGCCCATTCCACTCGGCGCTTCGGCTTCTTGGCTAGCACTTCGTTGACAATGCTCTGGGCAGCTTGACGCATCACTTGCACTATCTGAAATTTCAAAAGCAAGAAAATCATGTATGGTTGGCAACTGGCAAGCTTTGCCTATGTAATGAAAATCCGGCCTGGCTCATCGTCTCCCATCGGTTTAGACAATGATGGACGCAAAGGATACCTAAATAATTACCTGAACATGCTGAGGCCCCTAAATGGCTCCCTGACATTGTGAACGCAGAATGCTTTCACCTCTGTTCCCTCTGCCTGTGAGTCCAAAACAAAATGGTAGATGCGTGTCATGTGTTTGCTTAGAATTAGAAGCTCCCGCTCAGTCAGTACGTTTCACCAAATGCTCCAGCTTGCAAACCAACTAATTTTAAGTGGCGAATACCGTCACCTGCTGGAGGTGGCATGAGCTGTCTATATAATATTTGAGCTTTGAGCCGACGGAAAGGCGCGGCACCAAACATAGTTATCTGCTTAACTTTACTTGATATGTATGTGTATATATAATTACTCAAACACATAATGCTCCAAACTTCATCGAACTGATGATTCACTTGCACAGAACCCATGCATGAACCTCTTCTTTGTTTTCGGTTGCGCACAACTCCACAAGTCCACAAGCCTAGTTGCGCTTGCGCTCAGAAATGGTCTCACCTGCTTCCCACTGAAATGCAATGCGGATTTGACCCACCGGCTCACCATGTGCGCTTGAGGACGGTGTCCCGCTTGCCAGCTGCAAGACGAAGAATCGTTCTCTCACACTGACAAAAAAGCAAACATCAAATCCACTTTTGCGCCGCCAAGATACTGTCGTGATATCCTCCTCCCCAAAATAGCTCATAGCCCTCTGCTAGAAGCGCATCCACCGTGGATCTTGCAAGGTTTACACTCTTCAACAAGAAGAACGTTTCTTGAAAGACATTTTAATAAAAGCACGTTTTTTGTGTTGCTTCTTTAAATTTTGTTTGAATATATGTTGCAATAGTCAATGCTAGAACACAAAAGCCATGAATCTCCAATTCCAACCCCTCTCCGTCCCACGTACGCATGTCAGCCTCTCAGTTCCCTTTCCAAAGTACTCATCGTTCATGCCGTTGGTTTCGAACAATATCCATTTTGGATACCTGACGACCGTCTGACGACAAGCAAACACTCGAGCCTTCAAGCTATATACTCCGATTATACTCCTACTCCGCTACAAAGGTGCACTGACTGCACTCTCCGCGGTCACTTTTTCAGGACTGACGACTTCCAAGCCGCAAGCGGCCGCAAGAACAACCCGATCAACCAGGTCATCCGGGTCATCCGTGCATTGCGACGCTGTGGGCGTTGGGCGACGTGATTGATGCTCTAAGGGACCAAAGCCAGCTTCGGCTCTTCCCTCACCCAGAGCTCGGCGTGCTTCGGTGCGGCGGCGCCTTCGGCTCAAACTGAGAAATGTGACACTTCAGCAGCTACTAGTAGCTCCTGGCCTTACTACTAGGAGCAAGGACGCTACTAGTAATTAACTAGTAGCAAGAAGCTAGAAAATAGAAAGAAACACACAGAAACAATGAGTTGAGCAGCAATCTTAGACGACATGACACCCATGCTGAGCAATGACAAAGATCTTGTTCGTGTTCTTCCGGTGTTCAACACATTACTTTGAAGTGTGAAGCCTTGACACTGGATCCAGCGCCAGCCGAAGCCTGACCAGGATGTGCGAGAAAGTGGAAACAACAGTTCTAGCGAGCGCAAATGACAGCAACAAACTCAAACGTGCAAAAGTCTGGCTTCGCCAACGTGTGACCGGAAGTGCACATGAGCAAGCACCGAAGCAGCAAACATCTAATGAATGTCCCGTTCATGCCTCGGGAATAACGCTGCTGGCCTCAGCAACTGGCAAGGACCGGGCCTGCTGGGTGCTCTGGTATTGGCATCTCAGTTGGCTTTTCGATATGTATATTCTATAATATGCTTTCTCAGGATCTAAAGCTCTGGCTGCTCCTTGTCCTTCGCCAGTCTCCCTGCAGAGTTCAAAGACATGTGCTTCACTGCACTGAGATCTACAAGTTCTTCAGCGTGGATCTCTCTGGAATGACAGCCTTCTGTCGGAGCTGCTGGCCTCAGTGCAAACGCTGGAGCATCCAGCTCAGATTTGTGTGTGTTGAACTTCTTCTTTCAATTCATTACAAGGCCAGAACTGAAGAACTTGTAAGAACTGCAGGTGGTGCTTTGTACCTGAAAATGCACTTATATAAACTGAATTGTTGGATGCTGCAAAATGTTCTCTTCTTGTTCTTCACCGCTGAGTTTCAGTGACTTTGAGCTGATCCTTTTCCTTAATGTAAAATCTGTCATCGAAACTTATATCATTTCAATTCATTGCCCCAAACACCTTCCAATGAGATTCACAATCTCTATAAAATGGACTTTTGTAAATATATAGCTGAATGCTGTATGGTACAAACTCTCCCCTTTCCAGTCATTGACTAGTGAGTTTCCATTGCATGCTTGCAGTTTCCTTCTGGTTTCTCTTTGTACCCTTCGATATTCTTTTAATTCCTTTATAGATTTGTTTGCTTCCTTTTGCCTCGATGTCCAGTTCTTCCTCTTGATGTCCTTTTGTTTCCATTAAACATCCCTATATAATTAGATTCCTATGGATGTGGTCCTGGACCTTCCCTTCGGTAAGACTCACACTCAATTCTATACCTGAATTTGTTCAAGAGTGTGCATTCGGCGGAGCAAACAAGACAACTTCACCAAATGCTAGCCTCTGATATTCATATCTATCAAAGTCACATCGTGCGAGTCTAGGCAAAACGGTGTTGAAATTATAAAGGTCCTTACAAACTCACTCTTGCTATCGACACGCCGTCCTGCATCAAACTCAAAATGAGGCATGGAGTTTCATATACATTATTGGTCTTTGTTTCTGCTTTTTACTTCCTTCATGCCCCTTTCCCGAAGAGTGTTACTGGTTCACGAACATGTCCTCATCCTGAACTGTATCTTCATAGGTTCAATATGCAGGTGTGTGTCCTGGGTACCTTACCAACTTGAAAACCACTATCATGTTCTATATCAATCATCTATTGAATTATTGAGGCAATCACTTTCTGGGGCAGTCTGTGGTACTAATCTGGGACAAAGAAAAACAAAGAACCTGCGCGATGCTTGTTCTACAAAAGTCCAAGAACAGTCTGCTTGTTCCATGCGTGATCAGTGCCTGGAGGCAGCTGCTTTGCCAACTGGCCATGCTGAGCTTGGGCCATCTCTACTGGGCATCGCCTACGTCGAGATGCCAGCGCTGATATCGGTCCGATACTTGGGACCCTCAAAGCACATCTCAATGTGTTTGCCCATGCAGTCAGTGCTTGCAATCCCTGACTATCCACAATGAACCTTTGAAAATTTGAAAGGATGCAAAAGTTGTAAGCATTTGGTTTGATGGTCGAAATATATCGAATTAAAGCTTCAATGTAAGGTGCCACATGCACCTGCAATCCGAGAGACATGCCTTAACCGGTACTCGGGAAGTCACAAAGTCTTCTGTGGTTCCTGTCGCAAAGAACACCAAGTAAAAAATGTGCAAAATCTGAAATAATGCACTCCAAATCTTCAGTGTCTTTTGCCCTGTCATGTCTGAACTTGTCATGTTGTCCACTTGTTCCCTTTGACCATTCGATCGACAAACTTTCGGGCCAGCTCCATTCTCGTCTCTCTCACTCTCGAGGGAGTCTTCCATAGGAGCCTGAAACAACAGAACGAAGAAGGGAAGGGCCCCTTTAATTAGGCCCGCTTTAACAGGCAAGAACCTAGAAGTTGAGCTCCACACGTATTCTCGCTCTTCCTCAGGCGGTAAGGACCTGGGCTTGGCATGATGGACATGTCGCACAGAATCGTGCAATTTCCCACGGAAGAAATGCAAAACCAATCAGAACAGCAGCTACGTGCACAAACCACCAGGAGCCTGGATTCAGGGTTGAGATGGAAATTGAATGGCTTGAAAGGGACAGTGATCTGGATGTGGTGCATTTCAGTTGACCAGGCATGAACTGGTAGACTTACACTTACACTTATGAACATCTCACAGCCACACACTGATGAGTGTTAAAATAACTACTATTTTTCATTGTATTTGCATTTTGCTTATCATGGTTGTTTTGGTCTGGTTTTCATTCTCTTCTGGCGCTATCATTTGGCTTATCATTATTTTTTCATTAGTGCTGTTCATATTGCTCTCATGTTATCATTTTGATCATCATCTTTTTTTCATTTGTGCTGTTCTTACTGCTCTGGTGTTATCATTTTGATCATCATGCGTGTTCATTTGCGTTGTTCTTATTGTTATTGCTCTGGTGTTATCATTTTGATCATGGTTTTGTCATGCCGTCATGCTTTCTCATTGGGTCTTTGTCAATAAATAAAGTGTAATCAATCTAGTCAGTCACTAGTCTTTAGTAAAAGCCAGATGATGTTCATTATATTTCATTATGAGGTAGTGACTCTAGTGCCGCTAGTGATGAAAGACAGTTGCTCTGACTGCTACTGAGACTGTTCTTTGGACTTTGGACGTTGGACAACTGTCTTTTTCCACTGTTTTGCAGAGCTGTCAAAGCTTTGTTTCCTTTTTCCTCAGCATCCGGCTCGGCCTCTATGTCACTAGGTCCACTAGGCATCACTGACTTTTTTACACGCAAGACTCAAGACACATTACATTCAACAGTGGGACAGTTGGAGTCATTGGACAATCCTGGAGATACTGAAACTACCATGCCCGAGTCTTGCCATGATGACTGGGATTGCATGTACAACGAGGAGTCAGGTGCTGCAAACGAGGACTGGAATGCTGAGTACTCAGATGAACTAGAACTATCCCAGAAAGAGGGGGAAGAACAGGTCGCAGTGTCAGAACAGGCCGCACTGTCCTGTTCTGATTCTGAGTCTGGTGGTTCTTCAACCAGTTGTCCAAGACTCACCCAGTGGTGGGCACAGGCTTTGTTCCAGGCAGTTCGAGACTTGGGCATTGAATGGCCTACACAGGAAGACAGGATCTCCGTTGCATCTGCTTGTGCTGGCTGCAGCGCTGAGTCTGCAGTGTTGGAGGCTGGACAGCGCAGGAAAGCAAAATGATTACAATCATTATAATCAGATTCATTATATTATCAATACACTCCAGACTCCAGACTGGATTAGGAATCACAAAAGGCTTCAGACTGTACTGACTACACACTCTTGAATGAATGAATTTGAATGAATTGAAACATGAACGATGCAGGCATGATGAGTGAGTAAGTAACTTTATTGATATGAATATTAATATGACATATTTATTGTCACTGTAATTAAAATATTGACACTAAGCCACTAAGCCAGCTACTAATTCCTGACTAAGACTCTGTATCGACACCATGATGCTTGGAACTTAGTGGAATGAGTAGTCTTAGTTGAGTCGTAGCCGCATGTCATGGTGGTGGATGGTCAGTAGTAGACTCAGACGTAGACTCAGACTTGATTGTTCCAGGCTGCCCAAAAGGCAAAGGTCTTTGTGACAGAAGTCTTTATCCTCAAATCACTCAAGCAAGTGACTGAGGGAAGAGCCAAGGAGCCACAGACAGAGGAGTCCAAGAAAGAAGTAGAGAATGGGCTTACAGTTCTGGCGAAGCAAGAATCAGTAGCCGCTTCGTTGTCCCTAGGGGTTGCGCAAGCTGACTTCAGTGCACACTTGCTGGAACTGCTCAGCAACACGCTGCACTAAATGCAAGTAGGTCCTAGGTCCTAGGACTAGAACACTGATGTCCAGATTCTAGATCCTAGCTGGTCCTAGCTGCCCAGGAATCCTCGGTTTTGGTGAACTGTGATTTGAAGAACGTAACTTACATAGAAGTATCACTATATTCACTGTACTATACTATACTATACTTCACTATACTATCACTAGTAGAAGCGATACACTACTATTAAATAGTACGGTCATAGTGAATGCTGTGTTTTCTTTTTTGGGACCAAACCGAGCAGGGCCGAGTGCCCAATGCACCCAGTACAGTGCTCAGTACAGCAAACCCAGGCACGAGACCATGTCGCGTCTCTGAAAAAGCTTTGCTTATGTGCTTATGTTTCGGCTTGCCTGTGTGACAGT